GATAATATATGTGAACACATAGATTCCTTTTTAGAAATAGCCCCAAGCTCACCGGTAGGTAATTAGGGATGGAGCGAAAAACTTAAGTTAGGGGAGCAAAATTTTAAAATTTTTTGTAAGTTATTTTTAGCTGCTTACATGATGTAATTAATTTATACTAATTTTTATGTTAATTATTAATTTTATACAAGTATCACTTATATCATCCACACCAACTTTTAAATTGAATAGGTATAATTAATTATTTTTAAATAGCATATAATTTAAGACTTTTAAATAAATACTATAAAAATATAACTTTTTTTTGGTAAGGTTATATATATTAAGTCAATTTTAAATTTAAAACATATAATCTATATAAATACAATAGATTCAATTGTTGGTTTAATAAAATACAAATTATACAAAAAAAGATACAACTAATGTAAAAATATATGTGTTTTTAGTAAAAAAGAAGAAGAAGCGTATACAAGTTACTTAAATACAACTAGATTTTGATTATTTTTTATATTTGTTCTTACTTAAATTAAATACAAAGAGAAAAATGATCTTTTTACGTAAGTCCCAAATAGTTTCTTTTTATTTGAATGGTCGTCATATATAATTCAATCTTCTAAAACAAAATTTTGTAAAAATATATATATATATGTACCATATTTGATATTTATTAAAAGTTCAGGGTGCAATTGCCCCCCTTATCCTATACAAGCTCTTTTCATGCAGCTAAGTATTATTTTATAAATTAAATTTAGAATTTAAGTTTTAAAGTTAATATTTAAGAAAATTAATTTTATTAAATGGTGGTTTGTAAGGGTTGTTTAGAAACCATTGAGAGCTTTTAGGCATGAAGAAGAAAATAAAAAATTAAGAGGAGAGATAAAGAGTTCTTAGAGACGATTGAAATTGAATTTCAAATATTATAATTTAGGGTTAGTGTAATGCATGTTATTTTTTTTTAAAAATTTTGAAGGACTTATTTAAAAATTTATATTATAATTAATATTTTTTAAAAATTAACTATTAAATTAAAAATTTTATTTATGTAAATTATGTATGTCAATTTTTAAATTAATCTAACACTTATAACTTTTTGATTAAAAAAATTCTATTTATTGGTGTATATTTAATGGTATTAAATTTTACGTAATTAATAAATTAGTTAGGCTTATTAAATCCATTTAAAAATTAGTATACATTATTTATATAAATAAAAATTTTAATCTTAAAATTAGTCTTTAAAAGCATTAATTAAAAAAATAAATCTATAAACATATCTTTTAAATATAATTTAAAAAATTTTAAAAGATGATATATAGAATACTTTTTTTAAATAATAGATTTTTCTCTTCTATTCCACGATTTTTTTCCACACTTCGAATTGTATTTTACGTTAAATTAATTGTTCTTTTTCCTTATTATTTAATCCACTTGTCAGATTTTTTCATTAATTGATTCAGCTGGAGCTAAATTCTAACAAATGCTATCAAAAGATCCTAAACTTTAGAAGGGGTGATTTAATTCCCTTACAGGTATCAGTAGTCCATTACTCACTAGCTAGGTGTCTCCTGCTGACTCTTGATTTAATTAATTTAAAAAAATATATTCAGGAAATTTTTTTAATAATATTTTAATATAATATTACTTATTATTTAAATAATTAATATTTATTTATTAAAAATTATAATATTAAATATATACATATATTTATTTATTTTTTAATAAAATTACATCTATTTACTTAATAATATAAAAAATTTATTTCAATGCCACTGCTAATTTAAAAGTCCTACCTACCTTCTTTTATTCTTTTTTTTTTGAAAATAGGTAATGGAAAGTTATACCCATCTGGTACTATTATTTTCCATCATCATGTGACAAAATGTCAAATTTTATTGAAAATAGGTAATGGAAAGTCCTACTCATCTGGTACTATTTCTTTTTTTGAACAATGTAAACTTTTTTTTGGAGGAAAAATAAATATAAAATTTAAAATTTAATCCCAAATTTTTTTAATTCTACGCACATGAGATGGTTATTGAGTCACCGAGTGCGGAACCATCTGGTATTATTATTTTCCATCATGTAACAAAATGTCAAAAAGCTGGCACACCTAGCTTTTTTCTTGAAAATAACCTGGAATTCTTTGCTGAAAAACGTTGTTGGTGGGGTCTCGTACTCTCGCTGTTCAGAAGTCAGAAGACTCAGAACCCCATCCTGACCCCTTTCCTCTCCAACAGTGATTACAATGTTTCAGGAAAACAAAAAGCAATTGACCAAAGACTTCAATCGATACTGCGTTCATTGCTGCCTTAACAACGGTGTACCCAAATATCCAATCTTTTGAATTGAATTATTTCTATAACAAACCATATTCATATATTGTTAGTCATCTCATAAATATTTTTTACCAGTAAATTAATTAAAGTTGCATTTAAAATTAAATAAAATTTTACATTAGTTCTTTAAATAATATTATGTTTTATTTAAATAATTAATATTTTTATTTATTTAAAATTTATAATATTACTATTATTTTTCATCATGTGACAAATAGCCAAAAAGCTGGTACACCTAGCTTTTTTCTTTTTTTTTTTTTCTTTTTTGAAAATAACCTGGCATACTTTCGTGAAAAACGTTGGTGGGGTCTAGTGTTCAGAAGTCAGGACCCCGTCCTGATCCCTCCCCTCTCCGACAATGATTACAACGTTTCGGGAAATAAAAAACAATTACCAACGACTTCAATTGATTCCGCATATATTGTTGCGTTAACAACGGTATGTACCCAAATATCCAATCTTTGGAATTGAATTATTTCTACGACAAACGGTATTCATATACTGTTAGTCATCCCATAAATATTTTTCATCAGTAGATTTGTCTTGCATATGATTAGGGTAAAGATGGATTTGGTGCTTGAATGCTTGATTAAGTTTTGCTGAAATTTATTCTTTCTGTCATTTGGGAAATGAGTTTAGTGAGAGGATAAATTTATAATTTTACTTTTAAAATTATTTGATTTATATAGTGTGCACCTGTCGAGTGTCGAACCAACAGGTGCATGAATTATTGTCCATATCTTTTACATTTTTTCAAAAGATAATATATGTGAACACATAGATTCCTTTTTAGAAATAGCCCCAAGCTCACCGGTAGGTAATTAGGGATGGAGCGAAAAACTTA